TTATGTCGTTTTGGAACGTCATATCTCCGCGCGGAGTTATGTCGTTTTGGAACGTCATATCTCCGCGCGGAGTTATGTCGTTTTGGAACGTCATATCTCCACGCTGAGTTATGTCGTTTTGGAACGTCATATCTCCACGCGGAGTTATGTCGTTTTGGAACGTCATATCACAGCGCGGAGTTAAGTCGTTTTGGAACGTCGTATCACCGCACGGAGTTATGTCGTTTTGGAACGTCATATCTCCACGCGGAGTTATGTCGTTTTGAAACGTCATATCTCCGCGCGGAGTTATGTCGTTTTGGAATGTCATATCTCCGCGCGGAGTTATGTCGTTTTGGAACGTCATATCTCCGCGCGGAGTTATATCGTATTGGAACGTCATATCTCCGCGCGGAGTTATATCGTTTTGGAACGTCATATCTCCGCGTGGAGTTATGTCGTCTTGGAACGTCATATCTCCGCGCGGAGTTATATCGTTTTGGAACGTCATATCTCCACGCGGAGTTATGTCGTTTTGGAACGTCATATCTCCGCGCGGAGTTATGTCGTTTTGGAACGTCATATCTCCCCGCGGAGTTATGTCGTTTTGGAACGTCATATCTCCGCGCGTAGTTATGTCGTTTTGTAACGTCATATCTCCACGCGGAGTTATGTCGTTTTGGAACCTCATATCTCCACGCGGAGTTATGTCGTTTTGGAACGTCATATCTCCGCGCGGAGTTATGTCGTTTTAAAACGTCATATCTCCACGCGGAGTTATGCCGTTTTGGAACGTCATATCTCCACGCGGAGTTATGTCGTTTTGGAACGTCATATCTCCGCGCGGAGTTATGTCGTTTTAGAACGTCATATCTCCGCGCGGAGTTATGTCGTTTTAGAACGTCATATCTCCACGCGGAGTTATGTCGTTTTAGAACGTCATATCTCCACGCGGAGTTATGTCGTTTTGGAACGTCATATCTCCGCGCGGAGTTATGTCGTTTTGGAACGTCATATCTCCACGCGGAGTTATGTCGTTTTAGAACGTCATATCTCCACGCGGAGTTATGTCGTTTTGCAACGTCATATCTCCACGCGGAGCTATGTCGTTTTGGAACGTCATATCTTCACGCGGAGTTATGTCGTTTTGGAACGTCATATCTCCGCGCGGAGTTATGTCGTTTTGGAACGTCATATCTCCACGCGGAGTTATGTCGTTTTGGAACGTCATATCTCCACGCGGAGTTATGTCGTTTTGGAACGTCATATCTCCAAGCGGAGTTATGTCGTTTTGGAACGTCATATTTCCGCGCGGAGTTATATCGTTTTGGAACGTCATATCTCCGCGCGGAGTTATGTCGTTTTGGAACGTCATATCTCCGCGCGGAGTTATGTCGTTTTGGAACGTCATATCTCCACGCGGAGTTATGTCGTTTTGGAACGTCATATCTCCGGGCGGAGTTATGTCGTTTTGGAACGTCATATCTCCAAGCGGAGTTATGTCGTTTTGGAACGTCATATCTCCGCGCGGAGTTATATCGTTTTGGAACGTCATATCTCCGCGCGGAGTTATATCGTTTTGGAACGTCATATCTCCGCGCGGAGTTATGTCGTTTTGGAACGTCATATCTGCAAGCGGAGTTATGTCGTTTTGGAACGTCATATCTCCAAGCGGAGTTATGTCGTTTTGGAACGTCATATCTCCACGCGGAGTTATGTCGTTTTGGAACGTCATATCTCCGCGCGGAGTTATGTTGTTTTGGAACGTCATATCTCCACGCGGAGTTAAGTCGTTTTGGAACGTCATATCACCACGCGGAGTTATGTCGTTTTGGAACGTCATATCTCCGCGCGGAGTTATGTCGTTTTAGAACGTCATATCTCCACGCGGAGTTATGTTGTTTTGGAACGTCATATCTCCACGCGGAGTTATGTCGTTTTGGAACGTCATATCTCCGCGCGGAGTTATGTCGTTTTGGAACGTCATATCTCCACGCGGAGTTATGTCGTTTTGGAACGTCATATCTCCACGCGGAGTTATGTCGTTTTGGAACGTCATATCTCCGCGCGGAGTTATGTCGTTTTAGAACGTCATATCTCCACGCGGAGTTATGTCGTTTTGGAACGTCATATCTCCACGCGGAGTTATGTCGTTTTGGAACGTCATATCTCCACGCGGAGTTATGTTGTTTTGGAACGTCATATCTCCACGCGGAGTTATGTCGTTTTGGAACGTCATATCTCCGCGCGGAGTTATGTCGTTTTGGAACGTCATATCTCCACGCTGAGTTATGTCGTTTTGGAACGTCATATCTCCACGCGGAGTTATGTCGTTTTGGAACGTCATATCACAGCGCGGAGTTATGTCGTTTTGGAACGTCGTATCACCGCACGGAGTTATGTCGTTTTGGAACGTCATATCTCCACGCGGAGTTATATCGTTTTGGACCGTCATATCTCCGCGCGGAGTTATGTCGTTTTGGAACGTCATATCTCCGCGCGGAGTTATGTCGTTTTGGAACGTCATATCTCCACGCGGAGTTATGTCGTTTTGGAACGTCATATCTCCGCGCGGAGTTATGTCGTTTTGGAACGTCATATCTCCACGCGGAGTTATGTCGTTTTGGAACGTCATATCTCCGCGCGGAGTTATATCGTTTTAGAACGTCATATCTCCAAGCGGAGTTATGTCGTTTTGGAACGTCATATCTCCGCGCAAAGTTATATCGTTATGGAACATCATATCTCCGCGCGGAGTTATGTCGTTTTGGAACGTCATATCTCCAAGCGGAGTTATGTCGTTTTGGAACGTCATATCTCCGCGCGGAGTTATGTCGTTTTGGAACGTCATATCTCCACGCGGAGTTATGTCGTTTTGGAACGTCATATCTCCGCGCGGAGTTATGTCGTTTTGGAACGTCATATCTCCACGCGGAGTTATGTCGTTTTGGAACGTCATATCTCCACGCGGAGCTATGTCGTTTTGAAACGTCATATCTCCGCGCGGAGTTATATCGTCTTGGAACGTCATATCTCCGGGCGGAGTTATGTCGTTTTGGAACGTCATATCTCCGCGCGGAGTTATATCGTTTTGGAACGTCATATCTCCGCGCGGAGTTATATCGTTTTGGAACGTCATATCTCCAAGCGGAGTTATGTCGTTTTGGAACGTCATATCTCCAAGCGGAGTTATGTCGTTTTGGAACGTCATATCTCCACGCGGAGTTATGTCGTTTTGGAACGTCATATCTCCACGCGGAGTTATGTCGTTTTGGAACGTCATATCTCCGCGCGGAGTTATGTCGTTTTGGAACGTCATATCTCCACGCGGAGTTATGTCGTTTTGGAACGTCATATCACCACGCGGAGTTATGTCGTTTTGGAACGTCATATCTCCGCGCGGAGTTATGTCGTTTTAGAACGTCATATCTCCACGCGGAGTTATGTTGTTTTGGAACGTCATATCTCCACGCGGAGTTATGTCGTTTTGGAACGTCATATCTCCGCGCTGAGTTATGTCGTTTTGGAACGTCATATCTCCGCGCTGAGTTATGTCGTTTTGGAACGTCATATCTCCACGCGGAGTTATGTCGTTTTGGAACGTCATATCTCCACGCGGAGTTATGTCGTTTTGGAACGTCATATCTCCACGCGGAGTTATGTTGTTTTGAAACGTCATATCTCCACGCGGAGTTATGTCGTTTTGGAACGTCATATCTCCGCGCGGAGTTATGTCGTTTTGGAACGTCATATCTCCACGCGGAGTTATGTCGTTTTGGAACGTCATATCACAGCGCGGAGTTATGTCGTTTTGGAACGTCGTATCACCGCACGGAGTTATGTCATTTTGGAACGTCATGTCTCCGCGCGGAGTTATGTCGTTTTGGAACGTCATATCTCCGCGCGGAGTTATGTCGTTTTGGAATGTCATATCTCCGCGCGGAGTTATGTCATTTTGGAACGTCATGTCTCCGCGCGGAGTTATGTCGTTTTGGAACGTCATATCTCCGCGCGGAGTTATGTCGTTTTGGAATGTCATATCTCCGCGCGGAGTTATGTCGTTTAGGAACGTCATATCACAGCGCGGAGTTATGTCGTTTTGGAACGTTAAATTCGTTCGTAAATTAATAAAGCCATAACTCAGCCGAATTCTTGCGGATCCTGACAAGTCCTCTGTTAAACAAATCGTATGAACAAGGACCATTAACTGTCCAAAGGACAACAAAATCGTCTCGTTTTGTATAATTTTAAAAGAAATAATTAATAAAATTATCCAAAAATCAACAAGTTTGCATATTTTTATTTAAAAATTCAAAAATCAACGGTCTTCAGAAACCTATTGCATAGCCGTGAGGGGCGTTTGTTGGCAACCGCTGGCTGCCGAGATTTTTCTTAAAATCTGCAAAAATACCAGGCGAACAGAAATGCACAGAAGGTCGACGTACAATTTTTTTGCGTCCGAAAAAATTCATTGCATACCCTCACGGGGCGTCCTGGTCGGCGGCTACGCCCCAAATTTGCCCTAAAATTCCACTCAAATACCAGGCGAACAGAAATGCACAGAAGGTCGACGTACAATTTTTTTTGCGTCCGAAAAAATTCATTGCATACCCTCACGGGGCGCCCTGGTCGGCGGCTACGGCCCAAATTTGCCCTAAAATTCCACTCAAATACCAGGCGAATAGAAATGCCCAGAAGGTCGACGAGTGGGTTGAATAAAACTTTTAATTGCATAGCATTAAGGGGCAAAAATGTAACGCATTTAAATTGAGTACTGTTAAATAGCAGTTCATGTAAAAAGAGTGCTGTAAGGCGACTGGGAAATAACAGCTGCAGCTCTAGCTGCATCTAGCTAAAGAAAATTATGTTTTTTCTTTTATTTTATTTTATTTTTATTTTTTAATAAAAACTACATAATTCGAAATAAAACCGAAACATAATAGGATACAAATACTAAAATAAGCAAATAAAACTTAAATATACGTAAATAGAACTTGAGTACACACACGAAAAGTATGATATAAAGAGAGCAATGGTATTTTACCTTAATTTTTTCTGTGCTGTATTCAAATTAACAATGGCAAATTTGTCAATTTGTTAAGAACAAAGCACATAAAATTTTTATGTACATATATGTAATTAAATTCTACGTTTGTTGATAGACCAGTGTTATTTCGTGATAATCTTTGTGTTGTCTGAATACACATTAAGCTGCTATCATGTGATATAAATCGGTGTAAAAAGTTATAGGTTAGGTTATAGTTATGTATATAAATATGTATATACGATGACTGTATAAAGTACGAGAGTATATAAAGATGTGCCCACAGGTGTGCGTGTGGTATTTGTAAATAGTTTTGGAAGAATACATAAGTATGTACGTTTTCAAAGATAGTTAGAAAATATTTCGTTACAAAAGTATTTTGTGATTGCGTTCACGTGTAAGTCTATATGGTCACATTTTAGTGTTTGTTTAGAAAAGACCCCGGTCCTTCTTCAGCTTCGTTTGCTTCCACACGGGCAGCTGATCGAACTCCAAGCGGCTGATGCCGAGTGCGTGTTGAAATTCATTTGTGTTTAGGTAGAGCTCCAGACGTGTGGGCTCCACGCCCTCTGGCAGCGGACGCGCCTTCAGCACCTCAAGCGGGTATTCGGTTTGAGTCATTTGTGCGAGCATTTCACTGATGGACGTGGGTACATCAGTCCGACCATCCTGTAATACCAAGGGACACAAATATTACATAAACGAAATGTCGAAGCAGTGAATCGACTTACCTCGAGGTTAATTTCACGAATATTGTTACGCTCAGACCAATCAGGAAATAAAGCTTTGAAGGCCAACGGCTCCAGGCCTGCCCAAACAACGTAGCCCTTGGTGCCGTGGAAGGAAACCGTCTCATTATCGCCGTGCTTCGCACGCCAATAGTCGACGGCCGTTTCTAGAGCGGCTCGTCGCTCTGAGATCCAACGGTTCACACCCGCACGATTGTCATTGGTGGGGCTGCTGCGATCCTCGGAGTTGACTATAATTGAAGAATCGCATTATTGTTAATGGTTAAGGATATGGCTAATTAACAAGTTTACTCTTGATGTCCTCCAGTGGCCACCAGCCCATCCAGAGCCACAGTTCGTCCCCATCGTCTAGCAGGTAAATAGTCGGCTGGCGCGCATTGTACAGCTGCGACTGTGAGAAGGGATAAGGCGAATGCAGATTCCGGCAACGCAGCGGATCGATCAGCTCGTGTGCCTTAAATATGCCTTGTGTGCTCGATAAGTTAAAAATCCTTAGTGTGTAGTCATAGCATTTGATCGACTTCAGCAGACTACCATAATTGCGCTCCTCTCCAATGCGAAGGATCGTTTTGAAGACATCGCACTCGGCACCCTCCTCCTGTTCTTGGACTGTGACGCTTGCACAGCTGAACAAATCCTCAGGCAGCTGATGTGCTACGTGCTGTGCTGCAGCTAAGGCGACGGCACGAGTATGCTCTGCGCTCTTGCAGCCATGCCAAACGAGCACGCGTCCCTCTGAGCCTAGTATGAGGAGCATGGAGCTACGCGAACGGAGCTGGCAGGCATCGCATTGAACTTCCTTTATAAGCGATTCCTCTGGTAGATTGCCTTGTATCTGGTAGAGACGCCACGCGGCTCGCTTGGCCAGACATTGCACTTTGCGACCATGATGCTGCCAAAGCTGGCGGAAGAGTCGTACAAAGGCGGGCGACTCGTCGCCTTGCGCCACACGGATTTGGGCACCCTTTTCCTTATCCAGTTCGACGGTCAGCAGAGCAGCGGCGCCCTTCTCATTGGCACTCGAGTCCTTACCCTGCCAGGTGAAATAGACGCAGCGATCGCGGCCAACAGTGCTGCGCTTCGACACCTTGCCACTCAGTTCCCGTACCGTAACTGAAATCTGGTAAATCCATCGCACAATGTAGCTCTCCGCGGAATAGAAGTGTCCGTAGTTCTTGTGCGCCTCGGCAGCATCGAAGTTGAACTCGTGTATCTGCCATTTGTCAGTAGATTTGGTGATAATATCAAAGTGCCGCATGGTGTCGTTGTCGTAGAAGAAATTGCCACGACCCAAGTTTGCTTGCTCCAGCACAAGATTGGGTTCCTGGTAAGGCTCGCCCTTCTGCAGGACTGCGCCGTTGAGTGCGTGCACAACATGAACACCATTTGCCAAATAGTCCTTCTCGAGATCCTCGTGCTCCAGCTCCGGCCAGTCGCTGAACTTCTCCTTGAACAGCACCGTCTCCATGTTCTGCGTTATCTTCCCCAGCACGCACCACTCTGGCCGCTGAGCGCAGCGCTTAGCGTACGTGGTGCTCTCGCGCCTGCCCACAATAGACGCATAGTTGATCGGATTCAGATAGCACTGGGCAAAGTCTACGACATCGGAGGCGTCAAAGTGCTCCTGAGCGAGACGCATGGCCGCCCGCTTGTCATCTGTAGGCGCGTTCTTGCCGTTCCACACATACAGCTCGCTGCCGAAGTCAAATACAAGCACCTTGCGTGTATCCAGCATTTCAACCTTTGGTATGCAGCCCCAGTACTTGGCCAGGGGCACCAGGCCATCGTCATGGAACTCGTAAATCTTGTTCGTCTCTATCAGACTGCTCTCGAATACATCATCCTCATCCTCATGGCCGCAGTCAGCGATGGCCAACTGCTGCTGTTGCCCCTTCGACTCGCCCAGAAGCGACCAGAACTGACGCCATTGACGCTCATTGACGTATTTACCGTCGGTGAGTATTAGCTCCTGGGTGGCTGTGCAGCCCAGATCCTTGTTCTCTACTATGGCAGCGCAGATCTTTTTGCTGCGCGAGATCTCAATTACGTTGGCAAAGGAGCCCACATATCGAAAAAGATGTGCTCCAGCGACCAAAATGAAACAATCGCCACGATTCATGGATGTTGGCACGGGCGCTACCAGACGCGTCTGGACATGGGTGCGTCCCTTGACGTGCAGCAGCATCACGCGCTTGTAGGGCAGCCACATTTGCTGCAACGGCAATGATGAGGACTTCAGAGCCACCGACTTGAAGTCTTCGGTGGATGCCAGGCCTGCAATGGCTTCTGTTGCCAAGTTGCTGCGTTGTCCAACTGTCGAGGCAGAAATAGAGCAAATCAATAATTGTTAGCTTGTGGAAGATTTATCCAAAAATATCGGTGACTAACATGATTCCAGCTTGAGACGGCGCACCTCACGCTCGGCAACGCCCGTATTGAGTTCCGTATACTCCGAGCAGATGTCGCTGCGGGCTGCCAAAGTCTTTAGAGGATTGCGTGCGGCTCGCCGCCCCTTGGGACCCTGAATGTTGCGCTTGCTAACCAGGCTGTGGGAGGAGATGTAATTGAAGAGATCATCAATCAAGTGATATCTCGGAATGACTTACCGCTCAGTGGGCTTTATACTATCAAAAGCGCTTATGTCCAGCTGGGATTGCTCTTTTGTTTGGCTCTTGGGGTGGACGATGAAGAAGTTCTCGAAGGTCTCCTCATCATCGAGACGCGGCACTTGGATTCGGGCGCCCACATTTGTGGCTGCGGCCACACTCTTGTTGTTGGCCAGCTCCTTGCTCTGCTTGGCATTGTGGGGCGAGCAGCGTTCCCCATCCGACTCGGAGCTGCTGCTGTTGCTGCGACTCAGTGGCAAAGTCTCCTCAGCATTGACGCTCAAGCTGCGCTGCGTTGAGGTCGTTTTCGAACAGGTCATCACCATCATGGAGGGGCTCTTGGCCAAACCCAGCTGCGGCTGATTGGTACTGCGCACCTCCAACATTGGGCACTTTTTGGGCGCATCATTGGGCAGGCGCTCGAATTGTAGCTCAGCTGGCGATTGAGCCTTTTTCTGCAGTCGTCCAGCGACTGTGAACTTCTTAGCATCGGTTTGCTCTATAAGCATTTGAGATTAAATATCAGCTCAGATGTTGGTAGGTGGTTTTGGTGTACTTACCTATACGCTGCTTCCAATTCTCCGAGTTTGACTTGAGTTTACCCAGGCGTTCCGAAACATTGCCGCCTTCGAGGCTGGCCACGATTAGATGCGACGGCGGCAACGTCTTGTCCGATATGGAGTGGGCCAGAGAAAGTGATTCCTGTCCGAAAGAAAGCAGGTGAAAAGTGGGATTGTGAGCATCGAGTGGAAGTTAAATGTATAATTAAAAAATTGATTGGAAAAATAATATATTGGCACATAATAAAAGTTAAGTTAACAAAACGCGCACATCAAAAGTGGTCATCAAACCATTTTTGGTTGCCTTAAGTTTGCTAATTTTGTTTATTGTTGTTCCACGTTATAAGGCCGGTTATAAAGCTGGGTTACTCCCAGTTAATGACATGACTCACGAGCGCCCCTTATAAGTTAGTTGGTTAGCTAATCATTTTGTGGTCTGTCAACAGCTGTAAATAAGTTAAAAGCCATTTACCAGTTTTACTTTTTGCATTATGAACGCCTTATAAACAACACGGGCACGGCACACCTCAGAGCCAAGTGCGCAGCCCTTAGTCAGAGCAAGAGAATTGGCTAAATTCAACAATTTAAAGCGCAATCCAATATGTGCTCAGCGCACCAGGGAATGTGTGACTGAGCTACCTGGATGCGAGCAACTGCGCAGCGGAAGGTGAGACTCAGGCAATGATAACCGCACATTAGAACACAGCGAGAGGCAGGCAGAGAGAGAGAGAGAATGAGTAGCGTGCAAGTTGAGATAAGATAAGAGACACCTCTCATATAATAGAATCACTTGAAGAGAGAGTGAAATATGTAGTTAGCGGGAAACAGACGGAAAGAACATATTGTTTAGATTTGTTTGGTTTAGAATCTTAGCCGCAAATTAAGTGTAAAAATATGTACACATCATTTAAGTAATTTGTACTATAATGAATATATGTTTAGAATCTATATTCCACACCTTGGTACCAATCAGTCGGTAAAGGTTATCAGATACTGTCGCTTTATTGACAGCACATTATAGAAACTGTTAATTACATGTGATTAAATTAACAACCGCTTTGTTATTGTCAGATATCAGCGAATTCTCTTTCGTATTCACAACAAAACTTTGGAATTCTCCTGAAGTCGGTAGCATGCGTCATTAGCAAAGTGCGCGGCCCGTGCCACACACTCTTCCCCAACATATTAAGTCCAGAATACAGTCTACGATGAATCATGGGCATTCGATTTGATAAGCCATATTAAAAAATGGGTAAAATCTACCTATGCAGTAAATTAATAAAAACAATGGCGAACATATATATAATTAAGTTTTGCACGTTAGGTTACTATAAAAAAATATATTTCAATTTATTATTTTCACTTAACGGCTACTTTTGTTGAGTACATTCAGATTTGCTTCCCGAATATGAACTGATTTATCTAACTGTTGCGGTCGCTTAGCAAACTTCGCTTTGAGAGAGTTTGAGTCAAAATTGAGTGAAGTTTGAGCTGCGTCAGCAATTATGCGTGGGATAGTACTCTGATGGGAACATTGACAGTGGCGTGATATTTAGGGTGAATTGTTTATGTCTACCAAAGGGGGACAGTTTGATCTTGACCAATGTCGATGTTATCACCAGGCTCTTTGTTTACAATATTAGAAATGTTTATAATTGTGCTTATGCTTATGTGCTAAGTTATGTTAAAGGGTGGGTGCGACTATGGATATGTCACTCCCCCAACCATTAGAAAAGTGCCTGTCCTCAGGTGTTTAAGTTTGGATATAGTGTAACATTTTCTTCTTTTACAATTGGTATATCTCCTATTATTGTAGGTGTTTCTTCTACTTTGGGTTTTTTATATTTTATAATTAATTTCTTAGGTATGCTTTTGAACTTATATGTCAAATACAGTGTTAAACTTATTAATATGATTACAAATATGGTTATTGTAATTATCTGGAATACATTGTTAAATTTTGTATGTGCATTTATAATTTGTTTCGTTTGTACAAACGAAAGTGGTTCTAATTTTATAACATCATTGCTTACGTAAATGCTTTGAGTATAATCTAACATATTGTTTGAAATTGAAATTTCATTAATTTGCAATGAACAATTAAAGATTTTTATTATATTGTTTCCTTCTATTGTTATTTCGTTATTTATACAATTATGGTTTAATATAGTTTTTGGTAAATTCCAAGTTAAAATTATATTTGGTTCTATGTAGTTGATTTGAAAATTTTGCAAAATTTTAGTATAACTACATTCTGATGTTATTTGGTTTAAAATTCCTGTTAAACATTCATTATTAATTAATTTTTTTGTTTCTCTGCTATAAACTTTTTTATCTTGGGTAAAATATTTTTCATGAGCTATTTCTGTCAAAATATTATTATTTTCATCCGGGTATGGAATTATTTCGAATACCGGGCTTTTTATTATTTCTCGAGGAATATGGGATATTATCAGTATTTCGTTTGTATCTGATTTAAACCAAGTGGAAGTTTTTGTATTCAACAATTTCTCAGAATTAACATGCAACAAATAGTCATGTTTTAGTAATTTTGGGTTAAAAATTCCTAATCTTGTGAGCTGCATTCCCATCTCAATGTCTTCTATATATTCTGTAAAGTGTTGTAAGTTAAATATAAGGATATCTAATTTCTTTCCTTTTTGTTTCTCTTGATCTAGTTCGTTCATGATTTCTATTCCTTTGTTTATAGCTTCTATTATATAATTTAATTCGTTAACCTGGACGCTGTTTTCTGCTAAGTTGCTTATTTTTTGTTCAATTTCTGCTTTGTCTTCTTGATCTAATGTTCCAAATAAGTATTTATATGCTGTTCCTACTATGTTAACTAAACCTCTTTTGCTGCGTTTGGCTATTTTTAAGCCGTTTATTTCTCTGTTTAATTTTTCTACTAGGTATTCGATTTGTATAAGGTTATTGAATTCTTTACTTTGTTCAATTAAATTGTTAAAAGTTTCTTCGGTTTTTGTTATATTAACCGTTAAACAGTGGAATTCGTAATCTGTCGGAATGTCTATGGTTCCTGTTTTAAATATGAGATATCCGTTATGGGCTTTGATAGGATTAATTTCAATACTCTGTGCATTTATATAGTTTACAGTTATTGATAGTAATATTATAATAATTAATTTAAGCTGGTGCTTGTATGTTTTGATCGCTGTCTGTTGTTGACCTGTAATTGTTATATTTGCTTTGATTAGTCTTCTTTTTCTTTTTGAATTTGGTTTTGTAATGTGTTATTTTCCTGCCTCTGTTAGTTTCCTCAAAATGTTTGTCGTCGATTTGTCTTAGTTCTCCTGTTTTCTTGAACGGGGTTGTCGTCTTTGATTTAACTAACGGTGAGTGTTTGTATCTAGTGTCAATTTCATAATTTGTTCGTTTTTTGTTGAGATTATTTATTAGTTTTTCTTTATTAGCTTGAGTGTCATACTCTGGTGTACCTGCATATATGAATATGTCCGCTGGTGTTCTGTTAGTCGTTTTGTGCTTTGTTTTATGATTGTACGTGTAGAGTATAGTTTCAAATTTTGTAAGTTTATTTTCGACGTCTGAGTCGCTGTTAATGATTCTTAGTTTTTCGTTAACTGTCTTATGAAATCGTTCTACGTCGGATATACCATTTTTACTAGTGGTTATATTAATATTTACTGCTTCTGATTTTAGCCATAATTGTAAAGCTGTGCACATAAAAGCTGAGTCTTTGTCTGCCTTTATTTCGATGGGTTTACCCATTTGGTTGAACACTTGTAATATAGCTCGTTTGGTTTCTAGCCAGTCTCTACTTTTTATTTCTATTAATGATGCAAATTTTGAATAGATATCAATGCAAGATAAAAATTGTTTATCTCCTACTATGTAAAAATCCATTACATATTTTTCTCGGATATTAGCGATTTCCGGAGTTATTTCGAAAGTTAATTTTGTATCTCTGTGTTCTGTTTTTGCGATGTTGCAAATCTCACATTCATTTATTAGATTTTGAATTAAATTTTGATAATCTGGGAAATAGTGGGTTGCTTTGAACCAATTAATAGTTTTTTCAATTCCTGGATGTAATAATTCTTTGTGCTTTTTTAATATTAATTCTTTGAATTCTGCGTATGTTTGAAGGTCTATTAATTTTGTACTAGTTTTCATTGCCTTTGTTGAATTATTTGGACTTATTATTTCTAAGTAGGCTTCTTGAAAAATTGGAAAATCTGCTTCGTTGTGGAAGTATAGCACACTTTTCTTTGTGCATAAGTATTCTGTTATTAATTCTTTGGCATGCGTATTAGTCATGTCTTTGTACGTAATTTTTATGTTGGTTTTGTGAAAGTAATTCGTAACTTTTGTTTCGTTCTCGGTTCCTTTTTCAAATTCTATTTGTCGATTATAATAATTAAGTGGTCTTTCTGTGATTTGTAAATGGTTACTGTTGTCTTCTTGAGCACTATGTATTGTTGCTCTTGTGCTAATTGTATCTTCGCCTAAGAAGTTTTCGTTTAATTGAATTCTGGACAGAGCATCTGCCACATAATTTTCTTTTCCTGGGACGTATTTAATTTGGAAATCAAACTCATTTAGCTTGATCTTCCACCTTTGTAATTTCATGTTAGGTTCTTTCATATTATTTAACCAGACGAGTGGTCTGTGATCACTAAGGATTTGAAATTGTCGACCAAAGAGATAGGACCTAAAGTATTTAGTGGCCCAAACGATTGCTAATAATTCTTTTTCAATCGTTGAATAATTTAACTCATGCTCGTTGAGAGTTCTACTTGCATAGCATATAGGCTTATGCTCTTGCGAAAGGACGGCCCCTATTGCCATATTACTCGCGTCTGTAGTTAATGAAAATGGTTTTTCGAAGTTAGGGTATATTAAAATTGGGTCGGATGTTATGAGTACTTTTAGCTTTTCAAACGCTAGTTCGTAGTCTCTGTCTTTTATATTGATTTTTGCTCCCTTTTTTAATTTAAGTGTTAATGGTTTTACTATATTAGCGAAATTTGGTATAAATTTCCTATAGAAACCACATAATCCTAGAAATGATTTAATTTCTTTTGGGGTTTTTGGAATTGGGAATTTGACAATTGCTTGTATCTTGTTGGGATTTGGTTTTATACCCTCAGTTGTGATGAT